TCACGTGCAGTATCCTAGATAGATTATTGTAGTGGTAACAGTACTCACCTTTACTGGTGGCTTCTTTTGCAGGATGTGGTGCAAAAGTGTAAAAGCAGCTCAATCACCTGTTTGTGAGCTCCTGGAGCAAACCAATGTGCCAGGCTGGGGGAGTGTGGTTAAGGTGTTTTAATGTATATAGAAGTGATTGAAGTTTATATGTTATTGAATTATTTATAGGACTTGTAACACATTGGAATATGTCTATCATGTGGTGTATTGTGGTTGATGTTTTCTCATGGGGAGGATTATGTTTTCCATATGCTCGCTGGAATGGTAGAGTATAAAAGGAAGACAGCTGCTTTTGAGGGGGGTGGATTCTCTCTGTGTGTTGGTGTGTTAACATGTATTCTCTTTATAAAGTCTTCCATTTGATAGATGGATGTTACTACAGTCTTGTGCCATTTTATTGGAAGTGACCCATGACCACCAGCCAAAACTGACACTAAACATTATCAGCTAACATTCATATTAATCTCTGCTACCCTTCATGTAACACCACAGCCACTGTGCACCAATAACAAAGATTTTTAATCCATCACACTACAGCAAACTAACCTCTTTATCCTATTAGTATTGCTATTTTAATGCAACCTTTAACACAGTCTACCTTACATCGACTTACATGTAAGCTTTAAATTTCCACTTTATCAATAGGATTGAGCAATCCTTACCTTTAAATCTCTTCTTCCTCTCCTGACCAATCTTTCGTATCTTTCTCCATCTCTGAGTGAGGTTAGCTCTCTTTCTTTGTTCTCTCTTTGAACTGCAGCAGCTGGACTTTTAGCTAACAACACACTTTACCAAAAACTGCACACAAACAATTTGTGTGTTTGCTGATGTTTGCTGAGCTGATAGAAACGTTGCATTTGAAATTATCTGCCACTTAAAATCATTAATACCTTTATGCTCTTCATTAGGGCTAGCTAGATGCATAAGTACCGCAAATGCAAACTTACAGATGGTGTTGTCCAAAAAAAAGACAAAAAAGAAAATAAGAGCCCACTTTAAACCCTGACTATGCCACTTTTCTTTTATCGCCACTTTCATCTCTTTTTATGCAACATGCTCAGGTGATTAATACACAAGCAGGATTGCATTTAATGTGTTATTATTGAGGCTCAAAATAAATTTCATGTTTAAAGGCTCACAGTGACATAAAATAATAACTCCCCTCAAATCTTAACCCAAAATTACATATACCAGGAAATTATATGTATTTCTACTTCGTTACTTCCCACCTCTGTTCCCTACTAAACTTACAAACTGCATGAGCACAAGGCAATGTTAATGGGAGGGGGCAGTTGCATTAAGACACAGAAGTCTTTTCTAAACTAACAGTTGGTTTATTTATTTAATTATTGTTACCTAAACAAATAACATAACTTTTTAGATTGCAAAGCTTTTTATGTAAGAAAAACACAGTACAGCAGATCAATAGTCTGATCACAGGCTCCTTCAGACTGCAAGCTGAAATATCCTTGAGCATGATACCAAACAACAAAATGGTTAAACTTGTTTAACAATACATATGTCGCGAGTGAAAAGAATATCAACTTTATGTAAAAGGATAGCATATATTTAGCCACAGTTTGTATTATGCGCCTTTGCTACAAGAGAAAAAACAGTTACTTGTTCTGAGAGGCAAAAGATTAACTAGGGTATTACAGGTATTACATAAGTAACTCATGGGTGGCATATTCCTAGGACTGCGCTCTTCTGGACAGAGATCTCCGGTGTTGTTCCTGGGATCTGCTGGAGCCACTCACCTAGCTGTGGAGTCACCACACCTAGTGCTTATTCTCTGATTATATTGTTTTATGTATAGGCCTTTATAAACCAGGCCCAGAGGTGACAAAGAACTAGGTCAGAGGGTGACAAGTTGCCCTGGCAATAGAGTTTAGAAAGGAGAAGTAAAGAAAAGGGGAAGTCTAGTGCAGAGCTGCACCGGAAATCTGACAGAAAAAGAGGAACTATTAACATATAAGGAGATTTTTGTATCGAGGCTGTGTGTGACGTGTAAAGTACCAAAATAACACCTATATGAGACACATTTTTAGCTTCTAATGTTAGAGATTCTGCAACTGGCTTTGGGCTGTGCAGGGC